CCAAACGTTAAATGTTGATCTCTACAGTCAACAGCTGGACTGTTTTAAGATAGCAATTGACCAGAAATGGCCAAACTTGGCCAACAGGTGAGGTGTCATGTTCCACCAGGACAACGCTAGGTCACACATATCTGCAGTGACTAGCCAGAAACTTCGGGAGCTTGGTTGGGCAGATTTAAATCAGCCGCCATACAGCCCTGACTTAGCACCAAGCCATTATCATCTTTTCGATTTCCTTTATTTCTCAAAACTAATATTTGAGCTCTATCTAAATCTGAACAAATTTTCACGAAACCTGACCCACATTATTCTAGACTTAATTCAGTATGATTCGTGCAAATTGAAGGATATATAGGGACTTTGGTGCACCATTTACATTAAGTAGGGCGAAAATATATATATGGGAGCTATATCTAAATCTGAATCGATTTTTCCCAATTTCAATAGGGTTCGTCCCTGATCCAAATAAATGAGCTGTGCCAAATTTCATCCAATTCGGATCATAAATGCGACCCGTAATTTGTTTACACTTTAACATGGACAGACTGACGGACATGCATAAATCGACTCATAAAGTGATTCTATGCATATTCTCAAAAGGAACCATTTGTCTATCTCGTTTCCTTTTTTCCTGTAACAAGCTTATGCGAAAAGACATAATACCCTGTACCACAATGTGGAAGGGCATAAAAATCAGTTAGCTATTAAAAAGGGGGTTAACTAACTTAAGTTAGCTAAAAATTGGGTTATATGGATACTGCTATTAAAAAAGGATAGTACCCGAATATTAAAAATTTTTGGGAGGGAGATTTGTTTTACAAATACGACTACAAACCAGTGAGCGGAGCAGTATAGTCGGACGGGGCCGACCATATGATACCCTACACAACTTCCTAGAAAATCTCACTTTGTGTGGTTCTATATTCTGAGTCTGGTCAATATTTCGCGATATTTGCACCCTCTTGACTGACTAGAGGTCAACAGATATTACTAATATTCAGTACAGTCTACTTATGTTGTGATGTTCGGCTTTCAATTGCCAAAAAAAAAAACACACACACACAAATTAAGTTTTCGGCCCACTTCATCCCAAAATTATTATCTGATCATCATCGAAAATTATAGGCATATCCTTGACCATAACGGGAACCTCACGGAACATTTCAAAGCGATCAGCGGTATATTTCGAACTCTAGTGTGGTAATGGGTTACTAAATAATATGTGAGTACGTAAGCACCTGTAAATATTTAAGTGTAACTCCCACATCCGAGTACACACGACAATAAAATTGATATCAATTTAAAGTCAACCACTCCTCTTGGGTATACCATCAACTTCTCGTGTCTATGCCCTTCAGGGGTAAATCTATACGCTATAGGATACAAATTTTGTAATTTTTCACACTAAAATCAGGATCCATTTGATCCGCTAAATATTGACCGATCTTTATCAAAACAGGCATGCTTATCCTCTTCTCTCTCCTTCTCCTTCTCCGTGTAAAAATTTGCGGTCTCTAGATCGACCAAAAAATCAGACAAAAATAAAGTTTTTGGTCCATTTCATCATCTAAATATTAACCGATTTTTACCAAAAACAATAGGGGTCTTCATTGGCCAGAACCCATCCTACATGCAAAACAGTTATGAAGATTGGTTCATAACTGTGGCCTGTATCGTGTTTACAAATTATAATGGACAGACGGACACACATGTCTAGATCGACTCAGCTAGTCGAGATATGAGATCGGTATACTTAAAGGTGGGTCTAGGATCAATATTTCGCGGCGTTACAAACTTTTGGAGCTGCACAAAGCTATAATACCCTGACAACATAGTTGTGTAGGGTATAAATACCAAATTACTGCGAATTCGGTTGAAAAACGCTCTCAAAAAGCCTAATATACTGAAACCGACGAAATCGGTTGAAAACGCGATTAACAACATTGGGGTATCCTTACATGGGGCCCATGTCTAAACGTGGACCGATATAGCTCATCTTCGAACTTGTCCTGCCTACAGACAAAGACGACTCCGTGCAAAATTTTGGGGATCTACCTCAATTCGCTAGAGTGATATAATCAGACAGACTGATATCGTTAAATCGTCATAGAATTTTATGCTGACCAATAATACATATTCTTTATAGGGTCGGAAATGATTATTTCGATGAGTTAAAAACTGAAAAACAAACTCAATACCGCACTGCCAAATCAAATATTCTATGCCCATCGTTAGTTTATAGTGGAGACAATATTATACATCCTCCTCAAAGAAAAATGATGTCATAAGGCCATGAAGATATTTCAGATACTCGAGGTGTTAAAATATAATTAAAACAGCTTACATCAAAACCCACATCTCTTATAAAAGCATTACAGCACAACCTTCACAAATTCTTCACGAAAACTAAATTACTACCAGTATTAAATTTTAATATCCTCCCAAAGTAAAAAAGGACAACTGATAACTTTGAAATAAAATCCCAATAGTTTGGTACTTAAGTGGCGGAAAATTGTTTGGCCCTAAAGCATTTATCACACCTTTGTTAAAACTTTAGAGAGTCTTAATAAAAACAAAAGTGTGTTAGTTAAGTTAGGAGAAGTATCAAATAATACGATAACATGTCATATCCAAACATATATCACACATGACACACACGCACTCATACGATCACATGCCAGGAGGACACATAACTTATTCCCGCACTTTTCGCTTCAATAGGCTTCATATATCATGGAAACCCATTTTTATGTTGTTCTTGTTCTTGTTGCTGCTGCTGTTGTTTACCTTCATAAATTAACTACGAACGTCGCCATACAGGTTGTCAACGTAACCGTGTGATAGGTAAGCCAACCAACCAACTAAGTTATGGACTTCAAACAATGCAAAGGGAGAATATATATATCACACTCAAACCTAACGTAGTTCGAAGCGTATCCTTTATTCTGTGTTTTTGGAAAATCGTGTGATTTGTTTAAGTATATTAAATTTTAAAATTGAAAACTTCTTCAGTTTCAAATAAAAATGGGCAAAAAAGGCAAAGGAAATAAATTGGCCAAAATGTCGGAAGAGGAAAGGGCAAGATATTTACAGTTACGAGCTGATATCGAAGAGGAGGCCCGTAGACGTAAAATGCAACTGATTTCCATGTATATGAAGGTATTGTTTGTCCTTGGGAATTTTAAAATGGTTTAAATCTTTACAAATTATTACCTTTTATAGAATAAACTGAAACGCGAAGAGGCTTTTAGCCGCCTGAATATGGCCAAAATAAATCAAGAGTGGCGTTCCATTTTGAGGCAGGTGAAGTGTCAAGAATTACGCAAAGAAATCATTGATATGGAAAAATACAGCAAGGATATGTTGGATCACAAGGATAGTGTTATCCAGCGTTTGCTGCATGACTTGGAAGTGGCCCATGGCCAACATGATACAAGTTCACAGATCCACATGGAAATGTTGCAACATTTTATGGGTGAGTGTAAAGGGATGGATTAGTATACCAGGATTTTTCAAATGTTTTGTGTTTTTCTTTTCAGATATTCAACAGCAACGTTTGGAATTTTTCAAGGATAATTATGATCGCGAGCGTCAAATAATGCTGGAACAATTCAATGAGGATTTCAATAAAATGGAGAAGTTGAGAGAAAGAGCCCAGGAACAACTGGAAAATGTCTACTATCAGCTGGAGGAAAAGAATGAGAATCAGCGGAATGAGGCTCATGAACGATATTTGGAGAAACTCGATGATATTAAGGCCACGGTAAGGGGATGGTAAACAGAAGAATTATCTCTGTAAGAATAAGTCTTTTCTAAGCACCTCTTTAAAAAAGAACACCTAAAATATTCTACATATAAAATGACTCCTAAGAGTATTTTACACATAGCAGAATTCCAGAGGATATACGAGCAGGCGCATCCGCATTTTTTTCCCAATAAAAACACGCATTTCTAATTTTTCCATTGTAAAAAATTGTGGGTGCGTATTTTTTGAACACCAATTTCTATATAAGGGAGTTGCCGCGCTTTTTCTGCTAGGCTAAGAACTTTCCGAACTGCCCTCGTATTTATATACGATCATCAAAACTTAGACGTCATTCTGAAAAACTTCTACATGCAAAAGACTCTCTGTTACGTATATGACCTGCTGAATGTTTCCTATATGTAGACGAAGGTTTCTATAAACAGAATAAGCCCTGACAAAGGTTTTTATTTATAGAAGGACCGCTGAAGGTCTTTTTGCGTAGAAAACTGCGAACATGAATAAAATAAAGGCTGCCAAATCAAATACCCCTTTTTTATACATAGAAGACATCCTGAATGCCTTCGGATTTTTATAAAAAGAATACCTTCCAATTGTATTCTACACTTCGTGGACGTCCAGAAGAGATAACATATTTGAAGGATCGCCTAGAATGTCTTCTATACGTGAAATACTCTCATGAATGTCTTCAGTACGTAAAATACCAACTGAAGTTTTTCTATACGTAGAAACATCCAGATGATTTTCTCTCCTGGAAGAACTCAAAGTTCTGTAAGTAAAGACGATCTCCTAAAAGGCCATTACCTAGACAAGCACGTCCTGAAAGTCTTCTGTACACAGAAAACTCTATGGTACGCAGGCGACCACCCCCTGAAACTTTTCAATAAACAGACGGTCTTTATATATGCCTGCTATAACGAGTGGTTTTAACTAAGGCTGAAGTAAGCTAGTCGCTGCCAGGGTCAACCTAAGGACCCACAAACCTTAAGTAAAACACGAGTGATTACTATTTCAATCTTTATTATAACACTCTGGTGTTTACAATATGAATAATAGTTTGGATGTGAGATAAGCTTTATGTTGGAATCTTCTAATCGGTAATGGTAGCTAGGTATGAAGGTCGGATCGTTAATAGCCGGCTGGTTACAGTCGGCTCGGGGGTGGTTAAGCTGCTGTCGGTACGGCTAGCTGCTGTCTGTACGTTGGAGATCGGCTGGCTACAGTCGGCTCGAAGATACTCGGCTAGCTGATGTCGGCTGGCTACAGTCGGCTCGAAAATACTCGGCTAGATGATGTCGCCTCGTTGAAGATCGGCTGGCTACTGTCGGCTCGAAGATCCGTATGGTACTATGAAGTGAATGAGAATTATTGTGTACTTCTAGGAAATTGTCTGTTGATTAATACGATGAAGTTGAAGAACGCAGGTAATGATACTGGCTTAGGTTTAGAGTGAGACGTTATTCACTACTAAATATTGAGGTGGGTTGACATTAACTTGGGTCGTGCATAATGTATGAAACGGTCACGGTTCTATATATAGAATGCCTGTTGAAGGTCTTGTATACATCCTGAATACATAAGGGAGCTCTTCATGGTCTTCAATTCTTAGATGGCACTTTGATATTATTCTATTATTATAGGACATCCTAATGCTTTCCTATACTTAGAAGACCTTCATAAAAATCCTCTATATGTAAGAGACCTCTCACAAATATATTTTAGAAAAAAACATCATAAAATTAAGTTATACTTAGAAGACCTCCCGAAGGCCTTCAGAATTTTTGTTTATAAATAATTCTATACCTCGAGGACGTCCTGGAGGGCTAAAATATTCGAAGGATCCCTTTGAATGTATTTTATATGTAAAATACTCTCTTCTTCTATACGCCTTCTATACGTAGAAGACCGCCTGATGGTCTTCTATATGTATAATACCTCCAGATGATTTTCTAGAGGACCTCACAGAAGTCCTATAAGTAAAGGCAACCTCCTGGAAGTTCTTGTATACATAAAATATTTTATGATTGTTATTTTAACATAAACTCTACCTTGAGGACCCACATGAGTCTTTTTTATACGCGAAAGACTCTCAGGAACTCTCTACTATACGTAAAATACCACCTGATAGTATAACATACATAGAAATATTATAATAACGGTCTATAGTTAAAAAAAACTCCACCAATTAGAGGTATTTTATATGCAGAAGGCCTCCTGAAGTTCTTACCAGAAGACATCTAGCTTCTATTCATAAGATACCTTCACACAATATCCACTTGAAGTTCTGCTGCAACACTCTATACCATCTTCCACCCCATCCTTGACATTTCATGTTTATTTTTCATAAATTTTCCCTCTCTTCTTCTCCCAACATTAGATGCAACTTCGCATTGAAGAAATTACCGAAAAAGGCGAGCAAAAGCTTGAAAAATTATGGAAAGAATATCAACAAGCGTTGGCGGAATATGTTCAACATACCGAAGGTTTCTACGCTGATTATATGGATTTAAAGGAAAAAGATGAAGAATATACAAATCAGACGCGAGAATATTGTTATGAAATAGAAAAGGCCAGTAATCAATTGGCCAGTTTAAAACTCACGGTGGCCGATGCAGAGGATAAAAGTGAAGTAAAATTGAAACATTTGAAAGATCTCAAAGAGTATATGATGAAAAAGCATGCGGAACTGAAGGAGAGGATCGACGCTGAAATGCAGGAGAATGAGGAGAAATTTAAAGTGATGAGTGTGGAGAGTTATAAAGCGGTAAAGGTGAGTAATTTGAAAGACATTTTATTGTGGGCAAGTAGTAGTAAAGGGCGTAAATATTCTCATACAATACTACATTCGTTTCATGGTCTTCAATTCTTAATATTCCTTTTTACCTCTTGATCGCCTTCTTTTCTTATAGAGCGTCCTGAAGGTCTCCCATACTTGGAGGACCCCCATTAAGGTTGTTTATACGTGAAATATTGTGAGGAATGTAGAAAGCATATTTTCTATGAAAATCCCCGTAAGGGATTTTATATTTATATGACCTGCTGAAGGCCTTCTATACGTAGATGTTCTCCAGGTAGTTTTCTATGTATACAAGACACACTCGTTCCTTGGATACACAGAATACTTTTCGGTCGTCTTCTTTTCTTAGGGTATTTCTGAAGGTCTTTAATACTAGCAAGAACTCCTGTATCTGGGGGTTTTCTATTAGGATACCGAGATGACTTCCTGAAAATCATCTATACATAGAAAGCCTGACCTGATGAAGGTATATAAATAGAAGACTTCCTGAATACATAGAGGACCTCTACATGGTCTTCAATTCTTCTAAAGCCGACTTTTGTCGTCGACTACGTATGCCTAGTCTAAAAGTCGACTTTTGCGTATGCCAAAAATCATTGCCAAAAGAACCGGTTTTAATTTTTATACCCTTGTGATTCCGTATTAGGTTGGGGAAAAAGAAAAAATCTGCTCTGAAAAGGAATGTTCTGGTGTGATGCCAAATGTTCGAACCTTGACACGGATAAATTTAATTCGTAGATGCAATTTCGCAACAATAGTCGACATAAATACAACTTATCAAGTAAAGACATTTGTAAGCCACATTGCCCAATATGCCTGATGAGCCGCTTAACCAACGGCGAAACGCGTCGCCTAGTGGTGGGAATGTAATGTCTTTCTGGCTTTCCTTTTCATTGCAACTCAGATCATGTAACTCATCTGGAAAGAGAAATTAATAGAAAAGAAATAATAATTTTTAGAAAAAAATCGACAATGAAAAAGCTCGATGGGTGCCACACCAATTAACAGAAAAAATTAGGATGAATCGAATTTCCATCTAGAAACCTTGGCCAAACGGAATGTGATAAACCAATTAAACGGGTGTTGATTGGAGATTAGAAATGAATCACATATGATAAAGTGGGCCACACACCTCAAACATGTGCGTTCGATCGGTGTGAAGCTCCTAGCCCACACACGTCAAACGGATCCATTAAACTTCATTTCATATTTATTTTTGAAGCGTGAAGATGGATCGCGATAGTGATGACGGAAAAAAGACGAAATATTTTTATTTAATGTAAATGTATTAAATACTTTTATTTTATTCCGGGAAAAAACATTTTTATTTGCCACACAGTAGAATATGAGTAAAAAACATCGAAAAATCTTCCAAATACATATGTATTGCATTTGTCCGATGATCCGCACTCCACGAAATTTCTCAACAGGAAATTTCTCTCAGGAAAATTTTGAAAATCGCCCATAATCCCAAATCGGACATTCCGAAGCATGTTAAATAAAGTCCTATAGTTCATATAAAAATGGATTTATTTTTCCCAAACTATGATATTCTTGATCAGAATAAAGTTCTATGTCGAGTCCGCAGTTATGCGTGTCCGCTAAGTTAGAGCTCTGAAATTTTGCACAGACATTGATAGTGTTCTTAGGATGTATGGTATTGCAAATGCGATATATCGTTTACGTTTTGGTGTGCCTCATATAACGGTTCCTCTTAATATTTCCGTATTTTGGTGATTTTGGACACGTTTTCCAACCGATTTGGCTATAATTTGGTATATTGTTCGGTTCTCATTGATATGCATTATTAATATTGACCAAAATTTTAGGGGAGCCCTTATATAAAAGTCCTCCAATATTCGGTATTTTTGGGGATTTTGGGCACTTTTTCCAACCAAATTTGCTGGAATTTGGTATCAAGAATAATTATACCCTACACAATTATGTTGTCAGGGTATTATAGTTTTGTGCAGCCCCAAAAGTTTGTAACGCCGCGAAATATTGGTCCTAGACCCACCTTTAAGTATGCCGATCGTCATATCTCGACTAGCTGAGTCGATCTAGACATGTGTGTCCGTCCGTCTGTCCATTATAATTTGTAAACACGATACAGGCCACAGTTATGGACCAATCTTCACGAAATTTTGCATGTAGGATGGGTTCTGGCCAATGAAGACCCCTATTGTTTTTGATAAAGATCGGTTAATATTTAGGGGATGAAATGGACCAAATACTAAATTTTTGTCGGTTTTTCTGGTCGCTACAGAGGCCGCAATTATGGTCCGAACATCGTGAAAATTTACATGGAGAAGGGGATCGGGCCTAAGAATAAGCATGCCTGTTTTGATAATGATCGGTCAATATTTAGCGGGTCAAATGGACCCAGGATTTTGTGTGACAAAATTTTTATTCTGGGGCGTATATACTTGCCCCTGAAGGACATATAGCCGAGAAGTTGATAGTATATCCAAGAGGAGTTGTTATATGGCTGTATGTACTCCGATGTGGGAGTTATACGTAATTAAGTAAAGGTGACTATGTGCGTATTATTACTATTACTCCATTAGAGGACGGAAATGTCGCGCTGATCCTTTGAAATTGTACATGAAGTTCCGATTATGGTCAAGGACGACGCTTATAGTTTTCGGTGAAGTTGAGATTTCATTCAGGGGGTGCAATGAACCGAAAACTTTAATTTTGTCAGATTTTCTAGTCGCTCTAGAGGCAATTATTATATGCAGAAAATCACATATTTTACAAGGTGAAGGGGATCTGACCAAATACTTAGAGCGGCTGTTTAGATGATGAACGGTCAATTTTCCTAGGGTCAAATCAACCAAAACCTAAAGTGACCAATTTTTTATTTTATGACGTAAAAATTCACTTCAAGAAAAAACATTCTGGAAAATATGCAAGACTTAGAAAGAGGAATTGTTGATCTATAATCGGTAAAAAGGGTGAAAATATCACGAAATATTGCCCAGGCTCAGAATATAGAACCGCCGAAAGTATGCTTTTCGTGGTAGTTGTGTGATGTATCATATGGTCGGCCCCGTCCGGCTATACTGCTCCGCTCACTGGTTAATATTGACACAAGTGGAGGGCATAAAAAGTTCGACCGGGCTGAACATAAGGTGCTTTTTACTTGTTTGCTTCATATCGGGTTCCTTTACCAGTTTTTATTTCAGAAAAGTATATAAATCTACTGTAACCTGACATCTGACTGACATCTATTATTGCCTAGAAGCAGCGCCTCCTTATATTTTCTGCAGTGGTTGTGACCCCTACTTATTTATTTAATTTTGTGTTGCTATTTTCCGCTGGGTGGCGCTATACTCTACCATTGCTATTGGTACAATCCTTATGTGCTGTTGCTGATGCAAAGGATGTTTTAAAGAATGTCAGGGTACATTGGTTGCGTTTAATTTGGAGTGGGATGTAAGCCTCTTTTTAGGAATATTCGCAAATCACTTTGAAATCATGGTTTCCTTCCTCATCTGGGATTAAAACCCAGAGAGGTCTGTAGTCCGACACAGTATCGGGACCCCTGAATATATGATGTTTTAAACGCGACCCTTTGGGCTCTATAAAGTCCATGGAGGATTCAAATACATATTCAAAAACATTTATATATAGTTTCAAGGTTCCCATAGCCCATACAACGGTACCAATTTTGGTATGTTGATGGTTTTAACCTCATTTTTGCATCCGAATGTACTACAATTTAAAAGTCCAAGTACTTGGAAGTTGAAACAGTATTTACAATGTTTGGTAAAGGTTCAGTTGTTTAGTTACTTCTATATAAAATTCCACACTAGAAGTTCTTAAATTTGGAATTCCGGATTCCTGGCGAATAAACAACCTCCTTGAAAGTGTTCAATATAGGTGAATTTTTTCTGCATCTTAAAATGTGTCGCCCCCCTTTTCCAACCTGAATGCTTATTCTCTGTAATTTTCTCACGTGATATAAAATATGTAAAGTTTCTATCCGATTTAAAGAATTTTCAATGTTCACCATGTGTGGGAGGCCTAAATAAGGCGAATTTTATTACTTCAAAAATCGTTTGTTTTCCTTGTTATAATTTTGCCTATTTGGGTCGTTAGAAGATCGACGATTAGACTAGAGGCGAAAATTGCGTATTTTAACACTAAGTGTTCATTTTCCAGTGCTTAACATCGTTTGCATTTTGTTTCATTTTAGAATTTAAAAAATATTTTCGAAAAAGGCAATACCTTGCTACAACTGGTAGCTGTTTGTCGAAAATTTGAAACCGAAAAAGAGAAGATTCTACCCTTGGGATTGCCGCCGATTAGCAAAATTATGTTTGAAAATGAAGCTGAGCAATATTCACAAGTACCCGAAGAAATGAAATCTGTAAGTCTGAATATTATTATTTTTTGTAAAATACTAAAATTTTCTTAATATTAGGAAAACTTTTGCAATTGGCAATTAATGGAAGATTTTTGGCGACGTGTAAACAACGTTAAAATCGATTTGGTTTGTTTGACACAACGCAAACATGGCTTGGAAGAGGAAAACGAACGCCTGAAAGCCGAATTGGAGGAACGTTTAATGAGCCTGAACATTGCCAACGGTATCAACACCCATGTCAATGATTATTTGGCCAAAAGGCCAAGCAGCATGCGAGTTGACCGAGTGGAACGTATCGATTTGGATCAACGCCAAACATGTCAGTCGGCAGATGTGAAAATGGGTCGACAGCAACCACAACATCCTCTTCATCATCAGCAGCAGCGTCGTCTTCGTCCCCATACCTCCTGTATAACGGAGGCAAATTTCACCACAGTTGTACGTTCTCGAATGCTGGCCAAAGGCAAACCGAAGCTGGCCAAAATTGTCGCAATAAAACATTGAAAAATCGCAATGCAATAAAGTCATTGAAGAGCGGAGGATATAAGGCCTTGGATAAAGTGATCAATAAGCCATGGAGTGTCCTTTGCTGGTTTTTGGATACGTTTTCGTTTTCGCTTTTCTTTTTTATTAACAACAACAGATGTTGTGGGCACCTCGCCTTCTTCCAATTTTCTTGTGGCTTCTTCCCCACCAAATGGCCACCATAAAATATGACACTATCAAGAGTTTTTCGCTTTTTTTCTTTTCATTTCATATAAAAAGTAATAATTTTTCTTGTCATTCCTCTTTGTGTTTTATTTTTAAGTAAAGTGTGGGGAACATAAAATAAATGTCAGTTGGTCGGTCGGTCGGTCGTTGGTTGGTTGGTTGGACAATGATGATTTTTATTTGATGTGGTCGTCATTCCATCAAATATGTGTCAAAAAGTAATAAAAAAGTGAAATATATAAATTTAATGTTATCGAAATTTATCATTTCCTCCATTCTATTGTTCCCACTGCAATTCCAAATGCGAATGAAAATCACCCCAACCCCCCCCCCCCCCCCATAATGGATGTAAGAACTTCCAATAGGTTGAGGTTAAGGTAGTGACTGACATCAAACATCAACTCAATACAATAACTGACAACTGTAACAAATCTCAAGAAAATAAAAGAAATAACATTTTTAATGAAACTCCATCACAATGGTTTATTACGGTTCATAATCTTTAGAATAGGAAATTTATATTTTTAAGTTGATGGCTAGGGGAAGTAAGTGTTTGGAAAAGAATGTGAGTTATAACGTAAGAATGTAAAACCACCCCTATAATTATGAGCATAATTTTTATCGGTATAATAAAAAAATGCATTTAAATATATATTTTTTAATTTTGTAAATAAACAATTTGAGGCTTACATTTTTTATACCCTTGACCACACTGTGGTACAGGGTATTATGACTTTGTGCATATGTTTGTAACAGGCAAAAGGAAACGAGATAGAGACATGGTTCCTTTTGAGAATATGCATAGAATCACTTTCTGAGTCGATTTATGCATGTTGAAATTGGGTAAAATCGGTTCAGATTTAGATATAGCTCCCATATATATTTTCGTCCGATTCAGTCCCTATATATCTTTCGATTTGCACGAAATTTGGTACAGCGTAATGAATTAGGTCTAGAATGATGTGTGTCAAGTTTCCTGAAAATCGGTTCAGGTTTGGATATAGCTCCCATATATATTTTCGTCCGATTTAAGGTAAATGGTGGACCAAAGTCCCTATATATCTTTCGATTTGCACAAAATTTGGCGCAACGTAATGAATTAGGTCTAGAATGAAGTGTGTCAAGTTTCCTGAAAATCGGTTCAGATTTAGATATAGCTCCCATATATATTTTCGTCCGATTTAATGTATACGGTCCCTATATATCTTTCGATTTGCACGAAATTTGGTACAGCGTAGTGAATTAGGTCTAGAATTATGTGTGTCAAGTTTCCTGAAAATCGGTTCAGATTTAGATATAGCTCCCATATATATTTTCGTCCGATTTAATGTAAACGGTGCCTATATATCTTTCGATTTGCACGAAATTTGGTACAGCGTAATGAATTAGGTCTAAAATGTTGTGTGTCAAGTTTCCTGAAAATCGGTTGAGATTTAGATACACCTCCCATATATATTTTCGTCCGATTTGAGGTAAATGGTGTACCAAAGTCTCTATATATGCGATTTGCACGAAATTTGGCATAGCGTACTGAATTAAATCTAGAACGATGTGTATTAAATTTTGTGGAAATCGGTTCAGATTTGGATATAGCTCCATTATATATCTGCGTCCGATTTTCGGTAAATAGTGCACCAAAGTCCCTTTATATGCTTCGATTTGCACAAAATTTGGCTAAGCGTATTAAATTGAGCCTAGAATGATGAGTGGTGAGTTTCGGGAAAATCGGTTTAGATTTCGACATATCTCCCATATATATTTTCGTCCGATTTTAGTAAATGGTGCACCAAGGTCCCTATATGTATCCATCGATTTGCACAAACTTTGGCATAGCGTACTGAACTAAGTATAGAAAGATGTGTGTTAATTTTTGTGAAAATCGGTTCCGATTTAGATATAGCTCCCACATATACATTATATTTTTAACAACGCGGCGTACCGAATAGCGTGTATTAATTTTGCTATAAATCGTTTTCCATAAATGTTCCCCATGTTACGCAGACGGCCATAAATCTGCTCAAATGAAATTAAAGTTAGGATAGGTTGGAGAAAGAGGGAACATAGACATGCAATTGTTAGGATACATATGTTCAATATACCCAAAGTGGTGAAGGGTATCATATGGTCGGCCCTGTCCGACTTTACTACTTTCCTTACTGGTTTATATATAGCTAAACTACGAGTATGGCTATATTAAATTTGTCATGCCGTTTATCGCCGGAAACCCCATAAAGTATATATTCTTGATCAAAATACAATTCTATGCCGATTTAGCCCTGTCCGTATGTTGAAATCACGATATAGATCGATAGTACTTCTGGAATGTTTGGTGTTGCAAATGGGGTATATCGTCAATTCATCGGAATTGCCTGTACTTGATACTAATATTGACTCAAGTTTCGGGCTTGTCCCATATGACGGTAATAGTAAGAGGTGAAATAGATATAATAAAGTCTAAAGGTATATAACCAAAATATCCGGAAGGCTTTCCATCATTGGGTTTTGGCCCAATTTTCGAAGGATACATAATGGAACACATCTGGAATTTAACTGCATAAAACCTGATCTAATCTATCAAATTAACACTTTATCGTGTCATGGAAACGGCGGCGAAGTGGTTCAAGCATTCAAGGAAACGGACCATATGTAGATGATGTTGTTACTATTATTATATACCGAGGTATATAAAATCGTTCACTACCTCAAAGTTGTAGTTTTCAAGTTCCACAGTTGGTCCGAGTCAATTGGACGTCTTGATCTTTGATACCAGTTTGGTCTTCTCGCCATTTACTGTCAGTCCCACTTTGGCTGATTCCTTCTCAATCCGTTATGTCGATGTCGTCGGCGTGGGTGAGTAAAATATGCTGTTTGGTGTACAGAGTGTCATCTCCATTCACCTTTGCCTCTCGTATGACCTTTTCCACTTGGATGTTAAAAAGATCACACGGTATTAAAGGTCTCCGAGAGGTCCTTTACAGTTAAAAATACCCTTCATATATGTATTAATTTTGCAGGCATGGCTTCAACCCTTTGTGGCCCAATGTTGCCCACAGGCAATAAAATGTTGTAGAGCTTATATTTGATATGCAACTAGTAGATATATATTATTAGGCCTGATTATGGACGACACAAGGCCTGATTATGGACGACACATACCAAAAAAAAGTGTTGATAAAGTTAAAAGCTTTTTAATATAGAGAAGAGGGTAAATTTGTGTACAATATTAATTTATGTATACAGTCCAAATTATTTAAATCGCTTCGTATTGAAGTTGTACGAATTCGGTCATCAGAATTATTTTTGATTCTAGTAAAAATTAATATAGAGAATGATTTAAAATGATTTTTCTGTCGATTTTGCATTTGATTTTCTTGATATTGGACTTTCATTTTTCCAAAAGAATGTACTGTAACTCCCGAATGCAAGGATGTAGCGATGTAAAATTTTGTGCATATCCTTTTTAGGATAGTTGCATTAAATCTGTGAATAGACTTTTTATCTAAATTTGCGGAAAAAGTTCGGGGCTCAACAAGTTAAACACCTCTGAGCGCATTGGACTGTCGAATGCGGCCTTTTAATCGACGAATAGGTGGAATGTGTCGATGTATTTTACGTTGGTATTTTCCAGGATGTGGCGCTGTGTAAAAATCTGATCTACAGTGGATTTGCCCAGCCTGAAGCCGCATTGATTACTTACTTACAAAGATGGCTTGTGACAGAACTTTGGTTCCATAGGCCGAGCTTAAAAAATATTTCCAGGCGCATCGGTCTTTTGCGCAGCTCTTCCAATTTGAATGACCATGTTCAGAAATGTTGTCTACCACTTGATCTTTCCATCTAATTCGTGCCTTCCCCTCCTGCGTGAAACATTAGCTGGTTCGCTTTTATATGCCTTCTGGGCTGGGTCATCTTCATCCATTCTCACAACAACTGGTACAACTCATGGCTCATTCGACGGCGGTTCGCCATCACTATCCTTCTCCGAATTTAAAACTGATGTCGAAGCCGTATTGATAATTATACCCTACAACAACAATGTTGTCAGGGTATTATAGATTTGTGTGGCCCAAAGAGTTTGTAACGCAACAAAATTTTGGTCCTAGACCAATATTTTCATAGCCTCCTATTGTTTTTGATAAAAGTCCCCTATTGTTTTTGGTAATAAATATTTAGGAAATATTTGTCTTTTTCCCGGTCTCCTAGAGGTCATAGTTACGACCCGAACATCACGAAATTTTACACACTTTCACACACACACACTTTCCTCTTCATGATGGCCGGTCAATATTTTGCTGGCAAAATGGTCTTTTGTGTGTAAAGTCGCAAATTTTGCATTCTTTGTATTTACTTTTGAAGGACATAGACCGGGAAAATTAAGAAGAGCAGTTCCGGTTATTGTCATGGACGACACATAAAATTTTTGGTTCTGATCAGATGCAATTTAGGGTATGAAATGGCCCAAAAATCGGGGAAAAGGCCGAAGACGGTTATTTTGACCGTTTTCCAATCTCAAGTACAAAAACAACTGTGCATATAATGACACTTTATTTTTGAAATTTAGTGACTTTTTGTACCACATAGAATTACATTTAAGTCACCAAATTTTAAAAAAGCTGTGTCATTATATACACAGTTGTTTTTGTGCTTGAAATTGAAAAACGGAAACTATGTCCATTGTGATCATTCTTTATATATAGGTATACCTATAAAGAAAAGAAAAAAGATAGTGGAAGAATAGAGAGAAGAATAGTGAGGAAAAAAGGGAGGGCGGAAGGCAGATTATTTTAGCCAAGTCAATTTTTTGACAAAGCCTAGAATGTGGT